CGCCAGTGAGGAATCATTTGAATTAGGATTTTCCTGCCGACAAACACGCCCATGTGAACTCAAAATGAATTAAAATGTTCGGGGGGTTAAACTGCGTAAAATGATTTCGGGTCTCGGCAAATTACGAATCAACCGTCATACAAGATCAATAATAATTTACACAGTAAAAATTATAAAAATTCATAGCCGTTTGAAAAAACTTCTCAGATCTTTATTTGTACGTTCATTGCCATCTTCGTCAACTCAAAACCCTCAAAGTCCAAGTTGGCGTCACTGTAGCCGTCGAACAAAATCCCTACAACTTATTCCTGAAGTTCGTCGATATCGTCCCACACAATTTGGACTTAGCTTGGCACTTTTCATTCATGTCTAATCATAAAGAGACAAAAAAAATGGGGTTGTTCCGCTGCGATGGCACACGTTGCCTTTGTTTATAGCCTGGCAATCATCTTTGACTTTTATGCATTTGCTTTACTGATTGGCTAAGAATGACATCACTACTAGTATTTCATCATAAAGGTCAAATCGTGACATTGCTTTCTTATCAGACTCAACGCTTATCAATCACGGTGAAAGTTATCATTAAGCAAGTTCCAGCGGTTGGAATGTCTCACTATATGGATATTGCGGTGGACTTGAAATAGGAAGTTTTTTTTATCCAACGACAGAAGAACAGTTTTCATGACAGAAATGCAATAGCCGTGATGAAAGATGGTAAAAAAGTTGGCAGTCTTCGGCGTGACATTGCAAAATTGCTGGCCCAGTTATGGATTTGCAAGCTGCTAAAAAATATTTTATAAAGCCAAAAAATAACGTGATTTCAACCACTCTCCAAGGTACGGGTTGCTACAATATTGCAACATTGGTTTCATTGTCGACGACGCTAAAGCCGAACGAGTGCGGCACTTGCTTAATGGCTCTCCTTGTACGATTTGCTTGAATCATTTCTAAGGAAGCACAAACCAAACAGACCACGACATATTTCAAAAAGAGAACTACCGTTTCTGCTTTAATATATATTTTTAAAGACTTGCTGACTGTTATGATTCTGAAAAAAATCAGCGGTGAACGCCTTGTTTTACGCAATTAACAATTTTTATAAGTATCACGACAGACTTCAAGAAAGTCAACTGTTAATACAACCACAGTCAACGAATAGAAAATAGTTTTTTTTTAATTTTTTGTGTAGAAAAAGACCCCCTGGGCGCGTGCCCGGATATGACGTCAACTTCTTTATTGTGTCAAAAGTGGGGGGTGGGCGTTTGTCCAGGCATAAGTACGGTATATACAATACATGTAGATTTCATACACCATAGCTAACTATATACATGTAGATTTCATACACCATAGCTAACTATATACATGTAGATTTCATACACCATAGCTAACTACATACCTGTAGATTTCATACACCATAGCTAACTGTATACATGTAGATTTCATACACCATAGCTAACTATATACATGTAAATTTTATACACCATAGCTAACTATATACATGTAGATTTCATACACCATAGCTAACTATATACCTGTAGATTTCATACACCATAGCTAACTATATACCTGTAGATTTCATACACCATAGCTAACTATATACCTGTAGATTTCATACACCATAGCTAACTATATACCTGTAGATTTTATACACCATAGCTAACTATATACATGTAGATTTCATACACCATAGCTAACTATATACATGTAGATTTCATACACCATAGCTAACTATATACATGTAGATTTCATACACCATAGCTAACTATATACATGTAGATTTCATACACCATAGCTAACTATATACCTGTAGATTTCATACACCATAGCTAACTATATACCTGTAGATTTATACACCATAGCTAACTATATACCATGTAGATTTCATACACCATAGCTAACTATATACATGTAGATTTATACACCATAGCTAACTATATACATGTAGATTTCATACACCATAGCTAACTATATACATGTAGATTTCATACACCATAGCTAACTACTATACATGTAG